AGATGTTGGCGTCACTGATGAGCAATTCAGGAAGGAGGGTCACATCAGGACAACAGGCTCTGGGGAACCGGGCTCTGACTTCCTGTTGTCTGACTCTTTACATTAGACTCCTGTATGTACACACCTCGCTGTGGCAGTCTGGTATGACTAATATAGATATTCTATGTTTTTGTTACAGCCAACAAACACCATGAAAAGACCAAAAGCAACAATTTGTTAGTGTGTCCCTTAATACCGTCCAGACTTGCTGCCCAGTGTATATCGCTCAGTCCCAAGCCCTGTGACTGTCACAGATGGAAAGACCTGGGATGAGCAAAAAAGCAGCAGTGGACTGTACAGTGAAGACTATTTGACTTACAGCTTTTCATAAAGAGTTGAAGCTAGTTCCCTCACATGTGAATGCCTCATCTGCTGCAGCTTCTTTTGCCAACAAAGATAATGTCCACCTCTAAATGCCTGTGTTGGGTTAAAAGAGTGTGGGAACCACTGCACTAGCGAGTATGTGAACTACAGAGCCCATGATCATCAGGTGAAATAATTCCAGTATAATCTCCTTCACTCCCCTACTCCCCCCACCCCCCATCAGCCTCCCAGGATGATTAAAACAGAAATATCATGCACAGATCAGTACATAGCTAATAGACAATAATTTCATTTAAATTAACACAAAAGAGAAAAAAATAAACAAGGGTTTTTGGCTACACGACAAAATTCAATGCTGGTTTTGCTGTTTTAATGGGATTCGTTAAACTGGATGAAAGAGAATATCAACAGACTTGTCTTTTAAAATGCTTTAAAACTGAATCATTTTTCCTATATTCCGTCTCATGGTCTCCTTTTACCAGATCTAGAAGTGACCAAGTCGTCTCTTGCTGATGGCATCCACTCATCCATTTCTGCACTCCTGGACCACCTTGAGCAGAAACACAGCTCGTCTACCGTGGCTCGTGCCGTTTCCTACCTCACCCTCACCAGGACTGGGCTCACAGAGGCCGAGCTTGCTGATCTGCTGTCCAGTGGAGGATAGTTGCAGGGTCGAGTGTTATGTTCTGGGTGAGCAGGCACTTTAAGCTGGTTCTAGCTAAAAGGTGTTTAGGAACTCATGAGGTGAGGATGGAGATTCATTCGGTGATGGCGGACTATTTCACTGGCCGGTGGGCATGTGCAAGCGCTAAACCACAAGTCTTAGAATTGCCATATCACTTGCAACTAAGTGGCAGGGGAGAGGAGATGGAGGACAGGCTGTTAATGTCATGGGGGGGTTCACCAGGCTATGGTGTGAGCTGGACTCCTGGGAGACCTGGTAGCCATGTTGCAGGGTGAGAAAGGGTCATCTCAATGTCTGTTGTCAAGAGAAAAACTACTCTTGGCGAGCACACTGAAGTCTACTGCCTGCTTACTGCAGCGTGCACCTCTGCAGCTGCCCACAGTGATGGAAGCTGGCCTCCTCCCTTATCTGGAGGTCTTTCCTGCACTTAAAGGTTATGTCAGAGAGCTCAGACAGGAGATGAGGAAGTTAGGAAGCGGACTAGGAGTCGCACTGTGTCCTGCACCCTCCTTCGTTTCCTCCATTAAGTATTTACAGCGTAATACCAAAACTGAAGACATTTTGGTTACAGAAGCAGCTGGGACGGATTGTGGGACTGTAGTACAGATCATGGATGATGGTTCTGCCTGGATTTGGAAATGCTCTGAAAATGATGTGATCAAACTGCCACTGAGCTGTGAGCAGAAGGAGCTGAAGTTTGCAGGAGTGAAGAGTAGCTGTCAGTTCTTTTTGCTTTCCACACACTGCAGCAAGCTTTTCTTCTGGGATGCGACAGACCCAGAAATGTTCCTAGAGGCTAAAGACCCTTTGAAAACAGAGTTTGAATCAAGCCAAATAACACCAAATAAAATGGAGGGGTTTGTTGCATGTCCGAAAAAGTTATTTATGTGGTGGAAGGATCAGAGTTGTGTCAGTGCCTTTGACATCTCCAGTGAGACCTTGACTCATTTCCAGTGTCAGAGCTCTGTAGCATGTTTGGTTTGCTCCTCTAATGGCTTTTATATGTACTGTGGGCATGACGAAGGCACAGTGTCCATATTTGACACCAGAACAAGCAGTCTGCTGGGCAGCTGTTCAAACTCAAACCACAGTGCGGTTACACTGGTAATCCTCTGTGAAGATAAGAGGGAAATGGCATGCGTTGACAAGTTGGGGAACATAACCTTATGGGATGTGGCTGCTAAAGCACAAGCGCCCAGACTTGTAAAAGAAAGCTTTATAAGGGGTAAATCTGACAACATCTTCCATACAGATTACTCTGAAGAAACTGACTTACTATTGGTGTGTCAGTCTCACCAGGTCACACTGTGGGATACATGTGGCTGGGAGCTGTGGGACCACATGGGAGGGCATTCACTCAAGCTCTGCTCTCCCAGCATGGCAGCCTGTTTCTGGCTTTGTTAGATACCTGTGCTCTCATCTTAGTGTGGAGGGTCAGCACGGGGGAGTGTACCCTCCTCAAAATGGCCTCAGATGTTGTTTGTGTCACTCATGATGGCTGCCTGACAGTGTGGGACTGATATGATAGACGCTGCAGGGACAGCTTCAAAAATGCGGCACGGAGTGAGAGAAGTGGTGGTTGAACAAACAGGAGAGTGGTTTTACACCACCGATGGGTCTGAGGCCGTGTGGAAATGGAGCTTAGAGACAGGATTTCTGCATTCCTACTTCCTGCATGATAGTCCTGTGGAAAAAGTGCATGTTTCACCAAATTGCATCTACCTTGTGACACTCTTGGCAGGAGAAATTTACGTTTGGCAGACAGAGACAGGTCAGAACATGTTACGTATTAGTGGCAGTACAGCTACAGATATTCTGATCCCCCCTAAGAGTAACTTTGGGGTGAGTATTTCTGAGCGAGGGCTGTCTCGGGTGTGGAAACTGGCAAATGGGAGTGTTGTATGTAGCATACGCTTGTATCTCTCTGATGTCCAGGTGTCACCCGAGAGCACTTTCCTCATTGGCCGTGGCCATGGTGACCTGTTAGCTGCCAGTCTGTGGTAAGGCTTGATCATCAAGCGTTTCTCCTCTGTGGAAAGCTCAGAGCATGTTGTCTCCTTCCACACACTTTCAGAGTACCCAGACTTTGTGGTGGTGATGGGCATCTCAGGGACGGTGTACACCTGGAATGTAGCAGATGAGACAGTGCAGACACTTCCAGCTTCCGTATATGTTTCACTGTCAGCCACTAGACTTCCAAATGCCTTCTGATGGGCGCTACGCACTGCTGCCTGCTGAGAATGGAACCGTCAACCTTTTAGACCTAAGTCAGGCCAGGCTGTGCTCATTAAAAGCTGAGGGTCCTATTGTTAAAGTCTGTTTGGACAAAACTGGAGAGTATGCATTCTACATATCCCGCCCCACTACGCTGGAGGAAAGCTGCACCTGTTACCTGCATACGAGACCTGTCCTCATTGTAATATTAAATGATCCTTTAAATTGTAATGGTTTGTCTGAATTAATTTAGTTGGTATCTCACTCTTGCCACGACAGTAGGTTTTGAGGATGGGTCTGTAGGTGTGTATTCTGTTTCAGATGACTACGAGGAGGAGTTGATCAGGTGTGGGGAAAATTTACAAAATCAGTTGAAGCAACGCCCCTTCGACAGAGCACCACTCAGGTTGTTGCCCCTAGCAACCCCAAATATTACATGGCTTTAATATTATATACAGTTGGGAAAGGGCTGTGTTTTGAAAATGTACAGCTTATAGATGATACATTTACCAGCATCACATGTGACAGAAATTAGAATATGTAGATCTGATGTGTGTTCTGTGCACGATGTACCCTTTTAAACCAGACAATACCTCTGCCTTTAACTGTACCATTGTTTGTTGTAGTTTCAGTTGATCTGAGTTCATGACTAGGTGCATACACCTTTGTGCAAAAAAAAAAGAAAAAAAAAAAAGGTAATCCTGAGTTTCATTTCTGTGTAAAGAAAACCAATGTTAGTTTGTCCCCTATCTATTGTTTATATTGCTATTTGAAATAAAATTATTTGGTAGATGCTTTCTGTTTTTGTATTGAAAAGGTACTGAAATGCCTTCATCACACTTTCAATTTGTAAGACTCTTGACAGAAAATAGCACATCATGTTTAAAAAAAATCTAAATAATGGTTGTGTACTCACTAGAGTTCACTCAATCTGTTCAACCTGCATTGAAAAGGACTTTTGAATGTAATGTCTGTTGCTCTCATGCTGCCTTCTGTGCTTCCTGGTAACATAAATATTTGATTAGACTACATTCTGTAGGTTTTCTGCACTCCCATAACGAGTGGTTCAAATCCCCGTACGCTATCGTGATATTTTCGACAGCACTTGAAGGCAGCATCAGTTCAATTAAGTACCCAGGGACCCGGCCGGGCGGAGGCTATTTGTTCATCAGTCCAGTCACTGTGGTTGGAGACATGCATCTGTACTGTTGGGGAGACAACTCCGGTGGACAGTTTGGTCCACAGAACGCCTTGAGGCCGGTGTCCTGGACTGTGGCCGGGGTTATAACCAACATCTGCTGCGGGGACCAGCACACCTTATTCCTGACCAGTGATGGAGGCGTTCTCTCATGTGGGCACAACTCGCAGGGACAACTTGGTCGAAGGAAATCTAAAGATGGAAAAACACCAGGTAGGGAGGCTGAACCTTAAGATTATTTTCAAAAAGAAAGCAGCGACAGAACATGCAAGTCGATTTGATATTCCTAGTGGGATTATAGGCACTAGTTTTTCTAGTCGCTAAAGTTTCAGCTCCTGCATTAAATACGACACGGAATACTTTATTTTCATGTAAGTATATTACGCTTCTTCTTCTTTTGACTGCTAATATTGAACTGGAGGGTTGTTTGGTTCATTTTCTTGGAGTTATATTTTCAGAAGAGGTTTTTTACATGTGCTGACCGCCTAACTGCGTCTATCAAAGGCCATCAGACATCATCGTTGCACATATTCTCAGGCTATTTATCTGCAACAGGTTTCGGTTTCGTTTCCCCCTGATTGGTTCAGGCAACGAAAGTTAACGAAGAACTGCACGTTTATGTTGATGTATTCAAGCGCATGTGGGAAAGTTGGACATTCAGCACAGTGCTGCATTTAATTTTGTTGGGAAGTTCTGATGTTAAGTCTGAACTGCAAAATAAAGGTAAATCTACAAAAACTGAACAGGTAATGGTGGCAGTAGAACAATATATGTGCAGTGTATTGTGGCTATAAATATGAAAGCATTTTCATGCATGTTGCAGGTTGATTTGAACTCTTCATATGATTAGAAAAGTTCAAGTACAAATACCTGAAGTTTGTACATATAACACCTACCTACCACCACTGTTAAGTAAACACCATACATACATAGGTTTGCCTTGTCTGTCAGACTACTATTTTGACAAAGTTTTTCTTCTTTACAGCTTATAACCCATTTTAAACAGTTTAGAATCATTGGTATAGTATTGTATTGACATTATGTTTAGATATGTAATTTTACATCATAATTGATTTTCTAGAGTGTGTGTTTGTACGATTTTCTTCCTGTCATCCTGCATAAGGCCGTGTGGAAGGGCTGGGTCATGTAGTGACGATGGCTTGTGGTCAGGACCACTGTCTGGCTGTATGTGCATCTGGAGACGTGTTCTCCTGGGGGGCAGGATACGATGGACAACTGGGGATGCCACAGCATCTGCTCAACAGTCAAAAAGCAAGGCAAGGTCTCAGTCTGTGGAATATATAGTATACATGCAAACCACAGAAGGTCAGTGGTCAGAGTTTTTTTTAAATTTTATTTTATTTTTTACCTTTTAATGTCTCAACATCCAGACGTGTGCCAATGCCGCTGCCAGTACCAGTGGTTCAAGTTGCTTGTGGAAATGCCCACTCCCTGGCACTGACTAAAGGTAATACTGAGCACACTGACATTATCTTTGTGTGTTTATATGACACTGCGCCACCATATAATGTTTGTCTAATGTAGAAATGATTTGTTTTTATGTTTATATGTCACTGTGCAATATCTGGTTTTGTAGTATTCTGCCATCTTTCCTTTGGCATACGTGATTATGCTTGAATTAAGTTGTGTGCGTGTGTGAACTTACCTACCCATTTTAGTGACAATTATTTCCAGACAAGTACGAAACTTATCTACACCACAGGTTCCCTTATGCCTTAAATGCCATAGGGATTTTTTTTATAGGCCAACCCAGAAGTTAGCATCGCCCTGGTTCTCTCGATGAAAAGCCAGTGGGATTTTTCCATAGGCTTTTGGATTCTTGCAAAAAAAAAAAAAAACTCTGTGACAACAACAGTTTATGACAAGTCAACACCACTCATGATTTTTGGAGCAAAAGTAAAAAGCTATCATTAGGCTATAACCCTGGTTTGTCCCCCTCTCTCTGTGCAAAACGTGACCTTTTCAGTCTGGCAGCCAGTGTTTCAGACCTTGAGCTGCTGAGACCCCCTCCATGGCTGGCTGTTTGTAATGACTACACACTGTTTGAAAAACACTTCTTATAGCCTTATAGGTGGCAGCAAGGGCTAATGTATTTTGAAAAGCTTTATAAAAGCTGGAATAACGATGGAAGTGCTGGAGTGTCATACAGACAAACTCTTTTCTCTCTACTGTTCTCCACATTCCAGGAGGAGATGTCTTCTCATGGGGTTTGAACAGTCATGGTCAGCTGGGTCTGGGGAAGGAGGTGTCAATGCAGCCTGCACCAGCTTTAGTGCTGGCTCTCTCTGGTGTAGCAGTGAGTCAGATTTCAGCCGGAGCAACCCATAGTCTGTTCCTCATTCTCTCAGGCCTGGTGTACTGCTGTGGGGCCAATAAAACAGGCCAACTGGGGCTCAACAGGGTGGATGAGAAAGGTACACATCATTTACCTTTACATTTATCTCACTCGTCAACATGTTCCACACATGTCAATCTGGACCATCTGCAGGCATAGAAAGTAACAGCTTCTGGAGTTTTAATGCCTACCCTACCTGTAGGTAAATTGTCACAAACACCATTTTATTCTTTTATACCTCTGTGCTGGCAATAGCGGCCTGAGGCATCGTGTTTTCGGTGGTCTCATTATACTTTATATACTTTATACCCCCTTCCAAGACTAACTTCTGAGGAATTTATACCAGAGGTGGGTGTACTTTCTTCCAGAAGATCTGAAAACATCAGTGATAAAAGGTTAGGGTCACTGTGACCTTGCGTTCGGCCCCATTATTGTGAATGTGATAGGTCAGGAACGCCTTGAGAGAATTTCTTCAGGTTTGGAACAAGTGTCCACTTGGACTCAAAGATGAACTGATTAGATTTTGGTGGTCAAAGGTCAGTTTCCCATACCCATAAATTGGACTGGTTGGTGGAGGGATAAAACTGTGAAGTGGTCATTTTAGTTAAAAGCTGTATCATTACATCAAACTAATCTCACTCTGGCCCCATTTTGTGCCTCTCATGCATTAGCATTATATTTAAGTCAAAGAGCACACCATAAACTTTTTCATAAATGTTAAAATTACATATATGTGTTAATTTATATGAACTTGGAAAATAATAGCAAGTAGCACCCACAGATGAATGTACCTACTTAAAATGTGTGGTTCATGTTTGCACATGTTCATGGCTAACTTAATCTGGCATATGAAGTACTTGGGGAAACAGGCTAAAACTAAAAAATCTTTTTTATTTAGCTCATTAGAAAACTCTTCGAGGGTCCTAGAAAAAGATTCATAACAGTGGTTAAACATGTTAGTTTTCACAAAACCAGATGCTTAGCTGTGCGACTCTGATAAAGTAACACACACGAGGCACAATCTGACTGAACTCTACACTTTTATGTATTTCACCTCAGATATCAAAAACTCACTAAGTATTGTCATTTTGAAATAAACATGCTGTTTATCTTGGCTCATTTCTCTTACAGGCAGGTTCAACATCTGTATGGTACCTGCCCTCAGACCTCTGGGTGTGTCCTTCATAAGCTGTGGAGAGGCGCACTCTGCTGTGTTAACCAAGGTACAGTCCACGCTGATGCTGTCAGCTCGCTTCTCAGAATGTGACTGAATCGTCTGACTTCACCCAGTGATTAATCATCACATCGTACAGGTACAGTAATTAGTCTAAGGCATCGCTGCTTATGATATTATGTGATGCTGTGATTCGTAGGATGGTAAGGTTTTTACCTTTGGAGAAGGAACCTATGGTCAGCTTGGTCACAGCTCCTCTGCCAATGAAGTGAGACCCAGATTGGTTGATGGGCTGGATGGACCCGCCTCACAGATTGCATGTGGCAGGTAACAACTTGAAGGGTGCTTATGTGCTTACGAAACTGCATTTTAATTTAATATCACCTTATTTTTTTGGGTAACAACTGTAAAATCATGATTATAGTGGCTTGGAGAAGCTCTAACTTGAGAAACTTAATTGCATACTGTACATGAGAAATACTTGACCATGTGGAGTGCCTTTATGCCGCAGTCTTCTTATTAAATTCACAAATATTTCTCGTCTGCCAGGCGTCACACGCTGGTTTTGGGCGTCTCTGGCCAGCTGTGGGCTTTTGGCAACGGGGTCAAAGGTCAGATTGGAACTGGACGAAAAGAGGACAGTCTGACTCCCACTTTGGTTCAACTTCCATGGATCACTGATAGTGCAGCAGCCATACCCAGTGGTATGTGTACATAGTGAACCAGTTGTTAGATTTTGCATCCATCTCTGATCTTTATGCATTAAGTAAAGAAGCAGGGCGTTTCCTCAGTACAACATGGCTGTCAAAGACCTGAACTCTACACTGTGAGGTAAAGACGGCCCTAACCTCGTGGACAGTTTCTCAGGTTCAGCTCAAATGTTCAACAGTTGGCTGCAAAATAGATTTCTAAGGATCTTATTTCAAAAAGTAACTCCTTTTCAGAAATCCTGCCACATCTTGGTGTGTGTGTTAGGTATGTAAGAGCATCAGATTTAAATTACATTTTTTAAAATTTGTTTTATTTTTTTTTTAAGCAGACTTGAACATTTCAGCTGGGTGGAATACAAACTTTGTTTACTCTTCGCATGCACAGGTAATGTGTTCAACTAATTAAAATCTTTTTTGTATTTTGTCAAGATTATTAAGCTGAGCGCCTTTAAAGCTGAGTCTAATTTCTTTCTTTTAAGAACTTGGATCGATTACAGATAACTGGGCGGCTTGATGAAACAAAGCTGCAAAACTGGCTGTCAAGGAGAAATGCTAACGCGGAGGCAAGGAGGTAGCTTGTTTCAACTCTGTTAATTCTGTAATTATGTATCTGCATATATGAAATATTAGTCTTATATCCAGTAACTGCCATGTTAATACTGTACATATCTATCATTGCCTTACTCTCTTTGTGCAACAGAGAAATATCCTCAATGTTTCTGACAAGTTCAAGTCTTGTTGCAAGTTTCACAAATGCCAAGTAAGTTCTCTTTGGCTGCTGCAGTGTTTTAGTAGAAAAATCAGTTTGAACATTCAGGGAAGGAAAGTAGGTCTTTGGATGTCACTTGCTTTTTGGTTTTAATGCTTTTGCTTTTGTTATCAGCGGGCTTCCGTTAGAAGCAGGTGCCTTAACTGTGGACCTTGAGGCGGCTGACAAGGCTTTCGACCAGCTGCTGGCAGTACCGTGGATCAAACAATCGGTTAGGAACATCCTTTACATGATTTTCACACACTGAGACATGTATAGACAGAACTAGCAGAGTTTTTCTGTTATTTGTACTCGTATCCTTCTAGGTTCTTAACCTCTTTTGGGTGTGAACATTTTGTACAGCAGCCACTGATTTATTAATTCACAAACCCGTGTATGCTGTGTAAATAATGTAATGCTAACTCACAGATCTCCTTTCCGTTTAGGTGGACCTGCATCTCCTGATTCCCTCGCTTTACGATTCACGCATGGTCCTAAAGTCTCCAGAGATCCTCCTGATTCTGTTGACATGCCCTCTTCTGCAAGAAGACTCCAGGGTCATGAATGACGTGTTGCCCCTGGCACTTGTTGTTGCAGCTCTGAATGAGAAGACTCTGGATTCACTAAGTAACTACTGCAGCAACCTCTCTTTAGTGTCTTTTTGTCAGAGGTTTATGGAGATACTGTATGTAACCATTGTGTGTATGTCACAAATTTAGACATGACATATCAAATATTGCAAAATAAAAAAATGTAGTTGTCCGCCTTAAAAGTTCATACTTATATTAAAATGCTGAACATTTTGCACAAATCCTCCAACCTGTAGGACCCATGTGGTCATTTGCCCCTTCCCTCTTATTAATTACTAATTAATGACCACGTATGTGGCACAACCAAGCTTTTCAGACCTTTGTTGTCATGGAAACAGACATAAACACAATGGCTAGTTAGCAGGCTAGCTAGCAACAAGCTACTGGAACTCTGTCATCTTGGAAACTCATAAATATAACTATGATTACGAAACCACCCTTCATTACATTTTGCCACACAAAACACCTGGTTATGATTAGGCACAAAAACTACTAGGTTAGGCGTATGAACAAAACAATTACTGGTTAGGTTTAGGCACTAAAACATGTTTGTCACATTTGGGAACAAAAACATAAGCCACACACTGGAATTGATCTCAGTCTTGTTTTGTGTACCTAGCCATCCACTCCAACCTTGTCCTAAAGCAGACTTTGTGTCTCTCTATACTTACACCTTTCCTTGTGTCATAACTAATAGCAACCACCAGATGTCTTCAAACTATGACTCATAACATTTTGTTGTAATAACATGCTGGCACAAACGACTTGTACTGTCATATTTTACAGGAGGGCCGTCTCCTTTGAGGAGAGTGAGATAGTCACCTGATAAGTGTTGGGTCAGTCCAGCGGTACAGTGTGAATCTACTCTTTGTGTTTTGTTGTTCCGCAGAAGGCTGGTGGTCATCCCTTGCCCCCTCCATACTGAAGAAGCACATCTTGGTCTTCAGAAATGCCCTGGCCTTCATGCTAAAAAATGGCCTCTTGGAAACTCACAACCCCGGAATCAAATACCTGTTGGAAGCCCTCAAGCTGCTCTACAAAGTCAGTGCTGCGTGTTGTCATTTTAGTGCTGATCTGTTAAACTTTTTCTGGTTTGGAATCGAACCCTTTTTTATATCCGTGACAGTTTCTAACGGGTTCCTGGAAAATATTTGATATTTTGCGTCAAGAGTATTAATCACTCTTGATGTGGAAGAAATGTTACATTAGTGACACAAGTCTTGTTCTTTAATTTCTTAACAGGCAAACAAAACTGGACAGTCCTACAAAGTCCCACTGAGTACTTTCTACGTAGAGGAACTCATTGGTGCCGTGCAGCCATTTCAGGACGTCATTCTTTGGAGGAGTTCTTCTGAAGTGGAGGTATATTAAAAAAAAAAAAAAAAAAAGCATACAGTGCTATACACATGATGGCACAGTGTTTCAGAATCACGTGTCCATTTGTCCTCATTTGTGTTAAAGCTGCATTAGCTAACTTCTCCCTCTAATAGCTGATATATCTACAGTAACACAAGCAAATTATAGAGGAATTTTTTTTCCAGTAATATTGATACAGTAATAATGTTCCCACCACTATCGCATCTTTTCAGTGTTACATACTTGTATGTGAAAACGAGACATTCCATGTTATGCTTTGATAGTTGAACAAACTCCCCACTTTTCTAGTTGTGTTGATGGCCTGAGTTTTAACAGCTTCTCACTAAAATGCTACATGAACTGCAGTGTTATGTCCGACATAAACTGGACCAAAACCGAGCAAAATTAGCAGGATTATTTCATTTTTTTTAAAGGATGATGTCAACACACCTGTCATCTTCTGCCGCTATCCGTTCGTGTTCAATCTGGTTTGCAAGGTGGAGGTCCTTAATATCTTTGCATCTGCAACAAAGGTGCAGCACGTAAGTGTAACATTTTACCGAAAGTCTAAGTTATCTCATGCACTGTATAAGTGTATTAAAACAGCTTTCCATTTGTTTGGAGATTTCTTTGTGAACAAGTGTTTAATTACAGAGACTGCATTACGTCATTCATGAACTGGCTTCTGCGTGGCCTGATAAAATGTTGGGAGAGCCCACAAACTCGGCCCCAGCCCCAGTCTTCCAGCTATCTTTGAGACGAACTCACCTGGTGGAGGACACCTTCAGACAGCTTGGTGCAGCCGACCACTGCGCCTTCAAAAGGGAGCTTTTGGTAAACATGCCAGAAACTGGAACTTAGCCTTCTCATCACTTCACCCCACGGTTATTTCTGGGATAGTGCAGTGATTTAGATTTGCACGGTTGACATAAGGGAAAAAAAGTAAATTTATGGGTACTTCACAAAGGGTAGATAAAATGACATATTGTATCAACTAGTAAAAAGACAATAATTATGCATATACATGCACAGGATCATTTTTATTTTATAGATAATTTTAGAATATTGTAAGAAAGACTTGTGATGCAAAGGAGTTTTTAAGACTGACTTTAAAAACAAATGCATTCTTCAATTGAAAGTATAAAAATTAAGATGTCAAAAGTTTTAGTCTGGTATGGGGAGAACGTCAACAACACTGGATCCTACATTTTCCCATAATGCAACTTAACCACATTTTTCTCCACAGCCTGAACAGTACACTTAACTTTACTTCACTTGTAAAATCAAGTCAGTGCTCCTTTAATCAGCTGTAAAGATTAAATTGGGAAAACTGGGCAGAAGCAGCACACCTGCCTGGAAATGTGACAGCAAAACAAACATGTTTAAATTGTGACTTTTTTTTATTTATTTTTTTTTTTTTACCTCATTCTGTCCATTAAATGCATGCAATTGTACCTGCCCTCCAAGTATTCAGTAATGTTAGTGGAATATGTATAAAATAGAGAAGTTAAAGGGGAACATATTGGCATGTATTTAACTGTTCTACTATGCATTTAGCATGCACTGCTTTGAAAGCAAAACAAAGGCAGTGCAGCTGGTTAGAATTTGGTTCAAGTTCAAGGACACTTCAGTGGGATGCTTAAAGTATTTCTTATCTTTCCCAGGTGCAGTTCGTGGACAACAGGATTGTGATGAATGTCAACAAACATGACCTCTTCCTCTATGTGTTTGATGAGCTCATGGCTCCTGAGTCTAAAATGTTTATTTACAACCAGAGCAGGACTCTGGCCTGGTTCCCTCCCAGGGTAAGACCACTTAATTGAAGAGAAAACCATGTACCAAGATATTGCACATGCTAGTTCTTTTGGCTAAAGCCGGTCCACTGAGAATGAACAAACACTAAACAAATCCCTTTATATAGTGGAAACCTAGAATTGTTATGTCCTTGTCTGGGGTCTTTTTCCATCATTGTCTTGTGTAAACCCAGACAGTTATTGGATATCACCCTAATCATAACATACTTTTTTAAATTCACCAACCAAACAGCCAGAACCTCAGGTGAGGGATTACTTCCTGTTTGGGGTTCTGTGTGGCCTGGCGCTTTACAACCACAACATTGTCCACCTGCCCTTCCCACGGGTTCTCTTTAAGAAACTGCTTGGGGTCAAACCCACACTGGACGACATGAAGGAGTTCGAACCTGTAATGGCAGAGTAAGATGGATTTAAATATGCTCTTTTTTTGCAAGTAGGAAAAATTGCATGTAATTAGACATACAGTAAATGATTTTTGTTTAAAATGCCAATACTACCTTAAAATAGGAATATATGTTCATAAAAAGTTGAGGAAGTAAGTTGTTTTACAGTTGTTAAACCCTACATATTGTTATCATAACATACATCATATCCACTGCATTTTAACCTCAGACTGAAAATAGTAATTAACAGCAATAAGTTCTATAGGCAGTGGCTTCACTTTGTGATGATAAAATATGACATTTCTGTCAGTCTACACTCAATAACCTTTTAACGACAGAGTGAAAACATGCTCAGCTATAAAAATCAAAGAATGAAATCTCTTATCTTTATAAGTACTGAGACCCGCTGCTGCAGCTCTCCTAACTGTGGTCGGGTGTGGTCACACTATGATTGGACACAGTGTGTGTTTACAAGGTCAGGATAAAAGCTGTAAAGTCCAGAGAACTCTCTGTAGACCTCTGTGGTAAGGAATAGATCAGTGCAAAGGTATAAATCCACTAAAACTCTGTTCTCACAGTATGCTCAACAGGCAAGAAGGGCCTTGGCCCGGGAGGTGGCCAGGAACCCAATGGTCACTGTAATAGAGCTTCAGAAGTCCTCTCTAGACATGGGAGAACCTGGGACCTCTACTAGAAATTAAGGCTCTGAATATTTAAAAAAAAAAAAAAAAAAAAAAAAAAAAAAAAAAAAACTGTTTTGATCTTTATCAAATTTGCAAAAATGTCTAAAACATGTTTTCCTTTTGTCATTATAGGGTGTAGACTGATAGGAAATTGGCAATTTTATCCATTTATAGTTTAAAATGGAAAACTGAAGGGGTCTGAATGCTGAACTCAGTCTAACTATATTCTCTATAGTCTTGATCTGAAACACCTCACAGGTGACATGGTCATGTCTGGGTTCAATTCATCTTTTCCCATGTTTACTGTGTCTTCCTTCAAGGTGTTGGCGGTGCATGTTGGAGGACTACACTCCTGATGTAATTGCTGAAATGGAGACTACTTTCACTGTAGGTTCACAGTTACAATGACTTCCATTGCTACTGTCTTTCAGACTTGTTGATGCAATATTCTAAATGTGACACTATTAAATACAGGTGACCTGGTGTGGTGAGGAAGTTGAGCTTGATCCGAATGAACCTGGAAAACCTGTCACAGGGTCAAACAAGTATGTTTAAACTGAATAAGTCCTGAATAAGTACTGTTATTTTTTTGTCAGTTGCTCTGCAATACCACGCTTCTATCAAACTTGTATCTTTCTGTTAACAGGAAAGAGTTTGTAGCTGCTTTTGTCAACTATATCTTCATTAAATCAGTGGAGGGAGTGTTCGAGGCTTTTAAAAGAGGCTTTTACAAAGTGGGTGACATTGAAGTCGTGGAGTTCTTCCAGCCAGATGAGCTGCAGGCAGTCATGGTGGGCCACGAAAACTACGACTGGGATGTGTTCAAGCAGGGCTGCAGGGG